CCAGCTGAAAGTGGTATGTCCAAGTTATCCAATTATGTGAGTTCAAAGACAACTGACTTGAACAATGAAAGCATGAGAACTAAGGTGGAAGAGGTGAAAAATGATAAAATATGTGGCTTTGGATGATATCCATGAATTTGCAAAATATAAAAAATTCAATTCAACTGACAGTGGGTAGAGAAAAGGACAATCAGACAAAATTTTACCTGGTGCTTTGCAGCAGCTGGATGATGATTATTCTTATTCACATTCGAAATGATATTTAAATGTATAATTTGCCTTGAAATGAAAAACAAAAGAAAAATCAGTCTTTTTTATAATAACGTGTTCTCTTTTATACTACAACTTCAAAATCTGGAAACAGAAGTGTCAAAGCTAACACTAAACTGCCCCACCCCTCACTCATTTTGACATTACATAATATTCATAAACATGAAAGCCAGTCTATGCACATTCATGGTCTTTCTTCTAATACTGTGATGAGACATTGAATAGATATTACCCCATACTTCCCATTTGATGACAAAAATTAAGCCCCCTGCCATATCCTGCAAGAGGAATTTATATCCAAAAAAGATGAATTTTGAAGCCTGTTACTAGTGCATGTGTTAAAGGCATCCATTTTGTGAAGAAAAACAAATAATTCAAATTTTGATACATTGCTGCAAAGTTGGCAGGTCGAAATTTGGCTGAAAAGTGGTCAAAAATTCAAATTTTGGACAAAAAAAGTAATTAAGTCTTTATTCTACCTATTCTGAAAATTTCATACAAAATCATTCACAACATTTTGAAAAATATCAATTTAAAAAAAAAAATGACCTTACTAGACAGGACTCACTCCACTAATTCATTTGCCATCTCTTCCCATGTTAAAACACGAAATTCAACCTTCTATAACTTTTTCCAGAAATCTCCTTAAAAGCTTTCCAATATGTCAAATGAAAGTCTGACCAATTCTTAATGTCTCCTAAAAAATTCAATATATGATGACCATGAAAATTTTGAGCTACTAAAATTGAAATTTGAGAAGGAAGATGACAGTATATAACCAAACAAACAAACAAATTTCACTTCACTTGATCGAAT